GGTACTTGCATTGAACACCACACCACTGTCGTGGTACATACGCTCCAACAAGAACAGCGGTCGCAAAAGCAGCATACAACAGACGACGATTCAGCAGGAAATCCAGCAGCAGTTAAAGTGCGAAGAGTTCAGTTCTCGCAAGCAGACTATGCTCTGGACTTGCACAACACTGCACGGTCCCAACATATAGGCGAACAGGCCTACTGTTCGAGCCTGCAAGCCCTTCCGACCTTGAGCACGCTGCAGCTGACGTCTCCCGAACGGGAGGAGTTCAACATGCGTATTTGTTTGTACCGGAGACGCCGCCGAAACCAACGACACCATTCTCACACATCGGACAAGTTGAGCAGCATTCGAGCTGCTGCATTGATGGGCTCCCAGGACTACAGCTTCAGCAACATTAATATATTCGGCAGCAGCCGGCACCTGTGCTTCAGCAGCCTTTCACGGAGGCTCCGAACGTGTCTGACTCGAGTGCATCTACGTCAAACCCCAGCTTGGGGCTATCTCCTTGGTCCCAGCATTCGGCAATGGGTGACCACGGGATGGACGAGACACAGACGGTGCCTGCGCTGGGAAAAACGCCACCGCTGTGCCAAGAAATCTCCAAGGATGACAGCAGGGGGGTATTGACGGGGCACAGCAGACGACGTTGCACGTGGCACTGCAAGAGCAGTCGAGGTGTGAAAAGTCGAGCTTTAACATGCTGGTCACGAGCGTCGAGATGAACAACACCGGTTCGCAGCAGCAAAACAGCGAGCAGGCTCGCATGATGCATGTAGGGCCTCGACCGCACGCTGAGTCCCTGCTGCCGCCCATTGACTTCCACGAAGGGAGTGCCAAGGTAGAGAATAAAAGGTGGAAGAACCTAATTGCGCAAGCCAAGGGTCGCCAGCGAAAGATCGACCTTGACATGTTTTTACAACAGAAACTGCGAACGCTCAAGTTCGAGACAGTCACGTTGAAATGCACGGCGAACATTGAACGTTAACAGGTGAGATTGCTCAGGCATCGGTGGGCAAGGCACGTAATGTTATGCGGCCGGACATGATGCTGTCAGATATAGCCCTCTCAAATCACTGTTCACGTCTACCAGAGAGACTTCGCGATCGCGTGTTGTGTGAGCAAACTGTAAAAGACTGTTCGCGATTATCCACAACACTGTCCTCTCAAGTACATCCATCACTGTCCACAACTGACATGGATGCTTTCCTACACGAGCGAGTAATCATAATCTTTTGAGCTTTGTCGTTCGGTAATCTAGGTACGTTTGTAAATACAAAAGAAACGGTTTGTAGCAACTCCTGAGTTCGCTCGTCGCGGTGAATCAGTGAATAGGGTCCTCGGCCGCTGACTCGAAGGCCATGACACACATAGTATTAGCGGTGCACTTGGATATTTTATACTACTTGCCACTTTTCTGAACAGATGTATGCTGCTAAGACGTGTTTTTTGTTTCTAAATTAAGCACAATTTAACCACAATGTGCCACAGGCGATTGAACCAGGAACGGGGAGGACCGACATGGGTAACATCAACGCGTGAGCGTTAAGAAAAAACGGACCTCGTCAGCGTTGACCCGAAAACTGCAGAAAAACACGTCAGAGCTCCAGCAGGAATCGAACCTTGCAGCATTCTGCATCAAATATTTTACCACAGAGCCAGGCCAGGTCTCGGAAATACTTTGCAAGTATACCATAATGTTCGTGAAACATCAGGTCTGAATGCAGTACGTACTCGTTATGAAATTTTATAAACGTTACATATGTACTCCTGTGATGTAGCAGTAACGTCGTGTTAACGTGAATCGTAGTTAAATGCCATCTGCTGAAGTTGATTTATGTAGCAGTGTACAGGGCTATGCTCGCGAACACCAGCGCTTCATATTAGCTTGCCGCTTCTGGTATTGCTAATATTCATGTTGCTTTTAGCATCGTTACGCAACTGCAAACAACTGGTAATATGAAAATATACGCGGCTGTTTAACGTATACTGCGTGGCAATTTGTACATATTTTAGCGCCACTTTGTAACTTTTCGCTGAATAAAAAATATTAATGCAGTCACCTTCCATCCGCATGCTTCGCAGAACATTAACTCAAGATCTGCGGAATGTTTTTTTTTTCACCTTCTCTCCTTCTGTGCCTCGTCTTTCATTGCATTGCTGCATCTGATGCCGTGATTGCGGTATTTTTGTATGCAATTAGATAGAAAAATAAAGACGCGTTATTTCATCAAACACAGGTACCGTATTTTTTTAGAAAACGAATCTCTACAATGTCAGCCATTCATTTCGGTAATTTTGCAGAATTTTTTTTTTCTTTTCGGTAAATATTAAGATTGTGCCAAATTAGGCAAGTGCGTGCTGTTGCGTTTGCAACCAATGGTATCAGAAATGTTGCGGCCTTATGCAGCTCTGAGCATGTTGGGGTACCTCCTACTAAGCGGAGAATCCGCTTGCGTCGTTCTTCATACGGCAATGAATGCTAAACAGGATTGCGAGTTTGCGCATGCTGGTCGTCTCACCCACGTCCCATTTCCCGATGTGAACCTACAAGGAAAGAAGTAGCATGCCTCTCATTATCTAACCGCGCTTGGTCCCCTTGTAAATGGTCATAGCAGACGACGCCGGCAGTCAGGAAGTGCTCGAAGACATTACATGGAGCATAGCATTTTTTTCCACAGCAGTTATTTACACACAGTCAAGTCATACGCAGTCAAGTATTTACACACAGTACAGTCAATGGCGAAGCTGTAGCAGCATTTGGAAACGCCTGCCATTCGTTAAAACGATGCAGTTTCTAGGCTTCTATTACCTTCCGCTTCGCGTTGGCCAAAAAAAAAAAAAAAAACGCTGCATCGAATGAATCACCAGTTCGCACGCTGAACTTAGTCCACTTCCCCCCCCCCCCCCTCAAAATAATGAGTCCTAATGCAGAAAACTTTTTTCTTTTTTTATTATTCAAGTACCCTAAGGGCAGAGCAGGCATTTCATGAGGGAGTTACCATACATCGGTTACAGTACCAGAGCATGTATTCGAGCTGGCAACACCGGAACACAATAACAAAAAAGAAAAAAAAACGAAGTAGTACATCTACTCAAACCGGTAGGTCAGCTACGGAGGCCATATTTGGCCGGAACAAGAAACATTAACCATAACGCAAATGTATTTCAAACACACACACACACACACACACACATATATATATATATATATATATATATATATATATATATATATATATATATATATATATATATATATATATATATATATATATATATATATATATATATATATCCAATTCATAATAGTGTAATCTTGCTCCATCCAGTGTTCCACCTCCAGCTAATAATGCAGCTAATAACTCAAGCAGATTGTGTACGTATGCTCTTGCATATCCTTGCACTCCCAACCATATAGGAAAAGTGGGTACACAGGAACACAACGGCCTGCATAAGTAAGGCCCGTTGGGGCTTTGCACTGAAGCTATCTATGTACATGCACGAATCTGCCGTCTTTGTAAAAGAAATATATTTTATTAAAATGCTCCGACTGTCCCGAACGTGTCATGTGAAGAAACGAATATCATGTCTGGGCGCAACTACTTCCCCTGCTTTATTGTTAAGTATAAATCAATAAATGAAATACGGGCTATTTATATATACATGAAGCCAGTTCTTCGTGTGACCAAGAAGGGAGGGGTGGAATTTTATAGCACACCCAGCATTTAGAAATTCTACAGAATCTACCTGATTTCAATTGTACAATAACAAATGGATCTGATTATATTGAAAGAGGCAGCAGGCGTGCAAAAAAACTGCGACTGAAGTTTCTCGTCAGAGTGGAACTTCCTGTGCACCGAAAAAGGGGCTAATTTATAAAGGATATGCGCGTTATAGCAGCATGCATCTGTCCAGGACAGCGGCAAGTCGTGGAAAATATCGAAGTGCAACGTTGTGTACGTCGTGGTATCTACCGCTCACAGCATACGTCCGTCTTTTAAAATGAACAGACGCGAAATACGCTTGTGTCAGTTCTTGTAGGAAGCACGCAGTGTCGCCATTGAGCTTTGTGTTGAGCACAGTAATAGAAAAAGTGAAAAGCCGCGGAGTGTCTTAGTACGTTCTGTTTGTTAGCAAGAGGGCGTTGGTTCGATTCTCGAGCAAGGCTGTTGCATTTAAAAAGGGGGAGGGAGGGGTGAAGTGCGAAGTAAACCCAGCGAGTGCAGCTAATTTATGTTTACGTTACGGAAATCCGCATGCCCGAAATTAATCCCGAGTCCTCCACTAAGGGGTGCCCCGCAATACTATCGTAATTCGGGGACGTCAACAACAGCAATTGGTATTATTACACAGGACAGTCGATCACGCTGCACAGATAGCATACACACATATTCGTCTGCGAACAGAATGGCAGACCACACAATGGCACCCGTGTCCGCTCTGAAAGCAGATGCGGCTGTCAATGGTAAAAGACCTGAGGGTAACAAATAATAACATCGGGACTTGCACGTCCTAAAACCACAATATGTCTATATATGACGGACGCCGTTGTAGACGGCTGTGGAATGTTTGATTATTGGCTGTTTTTTAACGTCTACTGGCATCGCATAGTACACGGGTCTGCACAGTACACAGTACAGGCCTCCACCGAAATGCGACCACGGCGGCCTGGATCGAACCCTCGACCTTCGAGTCAGCAGCCGAGCACCTTAACTGGATCCATCGTGGCGGGCGAACCTGGGGATAACGACAAGCCGCTTTTGTTTTGTTGTCCTTACAAAGCTGCTCAATTTCAGGAACAACAACGTTGGAAGGATGATTACCTGCTCGTGGAGGAAGGCATCTTCGTCAACGGTGGGCAGTGATGGTTGTGCTCGAGACGCCACTGTTGTGGAGATTCGTGAACAGTCTACGACGATTTCGTCGCGCAAAGCGCTCGCGAAGTCTCTCTGATGGAAGTAATCAGCGATCCGCCAGGTCCATATGTGACAGCTTCATGTCAGACCGCAAAATCTGGCATGAATCGCCCACTGCTGCCGGAGCAATTCCACCTGATGGCGTACACTGTTCGCCGTGGATTTCAACGCCGCCGTCTCCAACTTGAGCTTTCGCACTTTCCGTTGTAGAAACGTGACACGGTCGATCTTCCGCTGGCGACACCTGGCTTGTGCGATTCGGTTCCGGCACTTTTTATCCTCCAGCTTGGCGCTTTTTCCGTCGCGAATGTCAATGGACGACAGCGGAGTCACAGCATGCGGTCGAGACACTGCATGCATCATGCGAGTCTGCTCACTGTTGTGTTGGTGTGGCCTGCTCACTGTTGCGTTGTTCATATCCAGGCTCATGATCCGCATGCTCAAGCTCGATGCTTCACACCTTGACCACTCTTGCGGTGCCTCGTGCATCGCCATCTGCTGTGCACAGACACTACTTCTACTGTCCTCGTCGGAGATTATGTAGCACAGTGGTGGCGCGGTTCCCACCGCAGGTGCCGGCTGTGTCTTGCCCTTCACGTGGTCACCCGTTACGCAGTGCTCAGACCGCGGAGGTGGGCTCGAGCTGGCGTTCGACGTGGATGCGTTCGAGTCAGACCCGTTCGCGCCCATCGTGACTTGCTGCTGAAACACGGGTGGCGGCGGCTGTTGAGTGTTTTGTAGCTGTTGCGGCAGATTTAGATTGGAGAGCTCGTCAACGAAGCGGCTCCAGTGCTGCTTCTCTTCTTGATTGAGCGGTAACACCGTAGCTTGCATCGGTGGCGTCTCCGGTGCTTTGAGATCAGTGAGGAGCATCTCGAACTCGGGCGTCGTCAGTAGCGGCATGCTTAAGTCCGGAGTGAGTAGTGGGCTTGAAGTGTGGGCCTGCTCGCTCGTAGGTTGGGATGGGCCAGCGTTATCCAGGTCCAGCCTCATGCTGCGCTTGTGTGCGCTCAACTCTCCGCGCCTGGACAGCGGCTCCTCCATCTGCTGCGCTGGGTGGTACATCGTTGTCCGGTGTCACCTTTTGCCACTTTTACTCTCTTCGTGTGAAGTGCCGTCCTATGCGGACAGTCTCGCTCTTATTGGTACGCGCGTACGTCAGCCCATTGAGTGAGTCATGCAGCGTTTTGGGCTGCCCTTTTTTTTTTCTGCGGCCTCCAAAGGAGTGAGGAGAATGGGAGCCATGAACTGGGAAATGGTGCTGACGGGAAAGGGAATACGTTCAGAAGAGAAGAATAGACCGCTAAACTACCACTCACGCACCTGTCGCCCCTGAGGATTCGCGCCGACACACTTATGTCGCTGCCACGCGGTTTGCGCATGGGCCATCAAAGTCATTTTATGTCACTTCATATATCCTAATGAATGTGGATGGTCTTATATTGTTAAGAGTATCAGCAATTTCGGTAGGCGATGACAAGTCCTAATCACAAATAGTCAAAGACTATCACTGTACGAAAAAGGAAAGACGAGAGGCGGGAAACTACAAGATAAGCGACGGCCTTTGGCTACTTTCCTTTTTGTCCCGCTCTTTTCGTCCCGCTGTAAGAATATAAGCAATTTCAATAGGTGGGGACAAGTCCTAATTGTGTGCTGTTATGACTAATACAGCAAAAACAAAACGGACAAAACGCTAGAAACTACATGATAAGTGGAGGCCTTCGGCTTTTCCTTTGTTTTTTCACTCTTTCCGTCCCGTTGTAATAGCACCAGCAATTTCAATAGGCGGTGACAAGTTTTAATATCAACTAGCCATCGTGCGCTGTTATGACTCATACAGCACAAAAAAAGAAGGAACAAAAGGCGGGAAACTACAAGGGCAAAGGCCTTGAACTTCTTCCCTTTTTGTCTCGCTCTTTCCGTCCCGCTGTAAGAGCACCAGCAATTTCAATAGGCGGTGACAACTCCTAATCTCAACTACTCATCGTGCGCTGTTATGACTCATATAGTACAATATAGGAAGGGAGAAAAGGCGGGAAACTACCAGATAAGCGAACACCTTCAGCTCCTTCCCCTTTTGTCCCCCTCTCTCCGTCTCGCTGTAAGAGCACCAGTGATTTTTATAGGCGTTGACAAGTCCTAATCTAGACTAGTCATCACTGCACTGTTATGACTCATACAGTACAAAAAAAAAGAGAAGAGAATAAAGCAGAGAAACTACACAACATGAGCGAAGGAGTTCGCCCTTATCGTACCGATGTTTTTTGTTTCGCGCATTAAAAATATGCATATGCTAACTGACCCGTTAAAGTTCAAACTATCAGCAATTTGAATGGTCTATGACTAATTTCAATCTCGATTACTTTTCATTCATTGATAAGATTGAGATATCTGAAGACCAAGATATCAGTAACCATAACTTTGAAAACGTTGTTAGAAGTGACTAACACCGTGACTTCGATGACCCCGTAAACTCACCGGTCGGTTGAATTGATCGTGTTGCCCATTAGCGATTACGTCCGTTTTCCTGTGCACGTACCTGGAGCGCTGCAGTTTGAAGTAAACTTGTAGAGGAGCTCGTCATGGTGCATAAAGTTCACTGTGCGATGAAGCGTCACGCTGATGCAGTAGTCGAGCCTTCCTTCAACGTGGCTTTCCGAAATAAGCTTGGTTCTATATACAACAACATTCCGAGAAGTGGCAGAAAAAATAATCGGTTTCTTACTCACTGTCTGATACGGGGTCTGTCCCAAAAACTTTTTTTTGCAGTTGGTAGCGGCGCCTGGCGGGACAGAACTTCGGGGCCAAAAGTTAGCTGGGGATACAAGCTTTGAAACGCATCCGTTGCATTTGCCTGTGGGCACTTGTTGTAGTTGGTCAAGCCATTGTGCAGAGGTATCTACTGCATCCTTGTTGAGGAAAGAGTGGACCAGATTCTGGAGCATTGCAACGCAATCAATTTATGAGTGAAACTGGAATAAAAATGGGGTGCAGACGAGCGAAATATTTTGGAAAGCCCACGGTGACGACGCGATGATACAAAGCTATACCTTGATTTCGCACAAGAAGCTCTGGAAAGTCTGGAGTCTCTCAAAGACAACGACCACTCGGGACGATCGTCAAACTCATGAACAGACGCCTCCGTGCAGAAAGCGAGTCAAGTGTTTGATGAGGACCGGCGATCAAGTGTTTAGACGATTGATGAGGAGCGTGCAGTACCAAAAAAATCATTCATCGTGATTTGAAGAGAAATTTTGTAATGAGGGAAGTTAATGCGAAAATTATGACGAGTGAGATGGACGATGAGTTACGCCGTGCTAATTGTATCCGTGTTGCAGGTCAAGATGGGTGTGGCAGCACTGCTTCAGCCACTGTGTGACCTCGATCTGGCACCGCCAGTTTTTTTTTTCGGTACGAAATGGAACCCCGGAAGGAAATATAGGTACGTGACGCTGGAGCATGTAAAATCATCTTCGATGACCTACTCACTGAAGTCGGCTCTCATTGACGGCTTCCAGATGGGCTTCAGTGATTGGAATTGATTGGCATTGATTGGCAGTGATTGGACCAGTGGAGAGAGTACTTTGAAAAATTTAAACGTATTGTAAACTGATATTGAATGCATCATTATTAAGATCAAAATTTTGAGAACTGTTCAATCAGACAGATTTACCGGCGCAAATAGACGGAGCATCTCAGAAGCCACATATGCACACAGCACTGCGATGTCTTTTCTGAAGTCTTTCGTTTTATTTTTTTTTTGTGCTGGAAAATCAGTTTTTATTATCAAGCAACTCACCCAAACAACAGTTTGAAACAGACCCTGTGAGGTGATTTGTTTGGAATAATTGGAATTACAGAAAAGATGCCGTGGGGCATGTCGTAGCAGTAGAGCCACCGTCGGGCGCATTTTCGTTGGTTTTCAGAAACTTTATGAACCCTTATTGAACTTACGCAGCTAGTAAGTTAAGTTCAGCACGTAGCGCACAACGCAGGGATAGATTCATAGACGAAGAAGGTGGCGCATTTGTTCGTTACATTCAAATTGTGTTTCGCAATGCGCCACATGCTGAAATCGAATGAAAATCGGCATTCCCATGCTTACAATAAGCTGAGGTACTTCAGAAACGTTTTGGTCGAATGGAGTGGCAGTGCATTCATTAAGCGTTTCGGTGGTCGAACCATGATTGCAGAGTTCTCATGCATCTATATACGCTGCAAACATGATATACATATAGAGGGACTTCAAATTCGACCGCTTTAAACAATATTACATATATAGCAAGACTTCTATGATGCACTTTATTTTTTCTGCTTTCGTGACATCATTTATTTTGAAATATACTGAATATGTTTATAATATGTCTGGCGTAATTTGTATGCAAGATACACCCATTTTTTTCTGTTTTTTACTACTTTTGAGGATGATGAGCGTGCAGTATCTTTCAATCACCTTGCACATATAACAAGCATATATTACATCGATATATTGTATAGTATGCCGGCTGCCAAATGTTGACCCTAGTTTAAAATGTCCGGTGTGATAGCTTCTTAAGTTGCCTAAAGGCAGCTTTTTTTTTCTCATTCGGCATCATCTGTATCGATGATGAAATAAGCATCTATTATATTTAATTTCAAAACAATAAACGCACGAGACAGATATTATCTCCTATCTTTGCAAAGCAGGTGCGTGAGCTGATGATGAGAAACAAGAGGTATACGTGTTACGAGAAAGCCATTATTGCCCATCACAATTTTCGTGAATCCGCCCCCAAACAATATCACAATTTTCATGTATCACCGCCCAAGCAATGCTCTTTAGGGCGAAGCTTTTAAGGCGTGGGTCTGTCCATTCCCTTGTTTGTATGTAGTAGTACGTAGCCACAAGTAGCACATACCCGCTCTAGAGCGGGTATGTGCCACAGGGGATGCGAGATGGGAGATGGCAGTACTTGGAGTGTTTCACTAGATGGACGCATGGACGGACGGACAGACAAAGCAGCGACGGACGGACTGATTGATGGACGAACGTACGGACGGACGGATGGACGGCTCACGGACGGACGCATGAAATGAATGCTATGAATGATCGCGCGAACGGACGGAAGCACGGACGGACTGATGGACACTTCGCCCCAGTGATCATTATTCAATCCGTGGATATGCTTTTATTTTTTTCCTTCTAATTCTACACTCAGCGCTAGAAATTTAGCTCAAGGTGTGAGAAAACTTCGAACCCCCGAGCTATTCGATACTGTTCAGTCGAACCATGCAGCACTCGTCAGTGCATGTTAGAGCAACTGAATGATGCAAAGTTCTCTAACATATCTGAGTTTTTTTCTTTTGTATGGTTATCAATATTTTTAGGCTTAGTCATAGGAAAACGGGCAACCCGCTCTCGTATGGCTAAGCTTAGTGAGGTGAATCATACGAAAGGTAAGGCTAGTCACACGAAGGCGGGCGCTTTCTAATGACTAACCTGAACCTTCGAAAGACGACCCACACGAATCTTTCACACGATTTTCCCGTTTTTCAACAATGTCAATAGATAACCCAACCCTGGCAATAGCATCGTCTTTGTCGGTGATAACACCGACGGAAACGAGGTAAGGAGACAACCGAACATCCCAGTTGGGTGAACTTTCCGCAGCTCTCCGTTATGGCGTCCCTATTAATCCTATCGTGGTTTCGGGGCGTTGAGCCCCAACAGTTATTCAGATAACCGAAAAGTTGTCGACTCCTTGCTCCTTTACGCGGTGCAGCTTGTCAACCGACTTGGATGAGTCAGAAGATGGTTAGTTTCAGTGGTGGCTTCCATCGGCTATCCCCTCTTTCGCTTCGCTGCCAACACAGTCGAGCGATATGTGCGTAGAACCAGAATGGTCCCGCTGCGGCTCCACGAAGACTTATGACGATGACCAGAAGATCTGGACCGTCCGGAACGTTCATGGGTGCATTTAAAGCGCAGAGACCCAGCCAGCCGGCAACGGCGAGCGGTGATCCGCGCCGTGTAATAGGCGACGTCGGCAATGACGTAGGCCCTCTTGGTGGCGCGCGAGCACCCG